TTGCAGTCTCCACTCCTGCAGTTTCCACTGTTGGAGTTTCCACTCCTGCAGTTTTCACTGCTGCGGTGTCCACCGTTGCAGTTTCCACTGCTGCAATGTCCACTGCTGCAGTGTCCACTGTTGCGGTTTCCACTGCTGTAGTGTCCGCTGCTGCAGTTTCCATTGCTCTAGTTTCCACTGCTCCAGTTTCTGCTGCTGCAGTTTCTACTGCTACGGTTTCCACTGCTGCAGTTTTCAGTACAATAGTTTCCCTAACTGTAATTCCCCCTACTTTAGTTTTTACTGCTACAACTTTCTGTTTTGCAGCTCCAATGCAAAGAACATCACAATCTCTCCGACGCTCACGTCCTTTGCTCTGAGATTTTGCCCAATGCACCCCCCTCTCATCTTTGTCTGTGCTTGGCCGTAGACGACTGCGTTCCTCCTCACCACCCCCATCTCCTCCACAGTCTCGCTTGCGAACAGACTCTCCAGTTTCCGTTGTTCCACCTGCGTTGCTAGGTACAAGTTCAGCTTCTGTTTGCAACACCACCACTACTCCTGTTGTGTATCACCGACGATATCTGCGACATCGTCACTTATCCGGGGATCAACAACCTGTTTCTTTGTCTGCCCCGATTCTCTCTGTGCCTCCTCCACAGGTTGTTGCGGTTCCTTTGTTTCAAACGGCAATATCTGCTCCTATGCCTCCTGCAGACAGTCCAGCTGCCTGCAGGCAGCCACCAGTCCCTACTCAGGATGCAGCCGCTGCCTATAGTACACTCCCGACTCCAGGTACAGTCCCTACTCAGAATGCAGCCCTAAATGTTGAGGGATTGGAACATGATATGCCCAGATTGCAGTTGACCCCACAACGCGTAGACCACATGGGGGATCTGCAAATGGCTGACCAGCATTGTTCGGATGAACCACAATTTTGTGCTCCGCCACACGAAGACCACATGGGCGATCTGCAAATGACTGACCGGCAAACAACCCAACACAGTTTGGGCTTGCAACACCATCTGGGTGATCTGCGAATTGTTGGCCAGCATCCAACAAACCAGCCTGAGAACCTCACCAATCTCTGTGATTTGACAGCAACTAATATCTGTCCTCACATTCTCCATCGCCCGTTTTATACACCATCAGACTTCCTTGCAATCGCCCTTCAGCTTGATGCTGATCTTCCCCAACGACGGCCAGAGGATTGTAATTATACCAGCGAAGGAGGCTTTACCATTGCTGTCCTACAAGTAGCAATGAGGGACTGTCAACTTGAATTGCGCAATGCTCGAGCAGGTGAGTGGTTTAATCCTCCATCCCACATCTCTGCCTGCATTGTGCACGGCCCTGGCCATTACATGGCCATTGTACATGCCTCTGACCACTGGGAGCTGTGGGACAACGRCACCATGGTCCATGCCGTGATTGATGTCACTGATTTCTTACAAAATGATGCTGTTTTCTTGCCACAGCAAACCGTCCGCAATCTCTTTTATGTCGAAGATCATTCCTCTGGCCCCGTGCTGCAGCAAGACAATGCACCAACACTCTGCGACCTTCTCCTTCGCACAACCACAACCACTGTTATACTCGGTTGTAGCCGCCATCGTCTCTGTCACAATCACTACAATGACATGGTTTTTGCATCCATGTGTGCAGAGGACTGTCCCACCGTTCCTGACTGCAGGCACCCTCCGCATTCGGACACTATATGTCCATTTTGCGGCCATGGGCGCTATACTGAATGCATGCTCTTTTGTGGTAACCATTCTTCTTTCATTTTGGGCTGCAATTGACATGCCATTTGTCGGGGGTGCATGGCAGGCATGCTCAATGCCACCCGTCGTGGCAATTGTTGCACTGAGACTGCTCAGCTAGGTCTTCCATGTGTTCATCCACGTCATCCTTACAATGTATGTCCTCGCTGTCGTCAAGGACAGACTCATTCTTGAGCCTTTTCTTATCCTCTTTTGCCTTCATCTTCACTCCACACTCCATACTTTCCCTTACTTTCCCTTTATCGTTCTTTGTTTGTCTGCTCTCCATCTCTCCTCCCTGTGTTTATCCCCTTCCCCTTCACTCTGCCTCTTTCTCACAGCGTACAAGTGGGCTGTTATGGCACACGGGGATGGGGGCAGCTCGCGCTCAACTTCATCAACGTGGCGAGCCTTGTACGTGAGAGGCACGGTGAAAGGGGAGTCAAAAGAAGAATGAGTAAAATGAATGGTTTCACTGTGCCCTTCATGTTTGTTTTGTTTTTTTGATTTTTTATTTTTGCCGTTTGTTTCGCAAATTGCGCTCTTTTAGTTCATAGTTATGTGACAATCTCTCTCTCTCTCTCTCTCTCTCTCTCTCTCTCTCTCTCTCTCTCTCTCTCTCTCTCT